GAAAGTTTTAGAAAATTATCCACTATAGCCATAAATCTTTACCATCTCAGAAATATTCTATTCAATTGTTGACAAACAAACCAAGAATTCATACATTTCTATTAAATGATAATTAAAAGCAAAATTTCTTACATTTGGATCAGCAAATTTAGAATTTATTGAACTTTATATATATATGCTTAGAACGTATGTTGCCATTTTATCCTTTTATCACTTAGAAAACATTTTTTATGAATGATTCGTCTGAATTAAATGTTGTACTAGATGTTTGTTAAAATAAATATAATTTAGAAAACATTTCTATGTGTCTGATAAATGGGAAGAGAATCATAACAGTTGTACTAGTAGTAGTAGATTAAAAACGTTTATATTTTACCATTATTCATATCACATTATATATAATATTTAATCATTGATGAATAAAGGCTTAGCGATAGCCTCTATAACGGTTAAAATGTTCATACTATTGACTGAATAAATGTTCATTGATTCATTATTAAATAAGAGCATTACTTTCAGATCAAGATCATCTAAAAACTTCTTATTTTCAAAAATTTCATTGAATATATATTCATTTCCTATGGGCAATATACTTTATTGTGAGTTTATCTGAGATTGTGATTTTGTTACCAATCTTAACAGCTATTTTTATTGTTTATTTATAGATATTTATTTAGAAGAACTATAATTGAGTAATTTGAGCATTTGTAATAATGACAAAATGTTTATCACAGGAGAAATTTGTTAGCCGTATCTACTACTCTAACACTTTGAGCATTTTTTTTAATTAATGGCATAATTTGCGATGTATTAACATTCATGCATTGGTTTTTTCTTATAATGATTATGCAATACTTAAAAGTTTGCTTTCAGTTGTTCTTTTTATTTTACTTCTAAGTTATTTTTATTGTTAATTTCTCTATGAGATAAAGTAATGCGAATGTCATTATTTTCATATGTATGTGAAATCAGTATACGTTGTTATACAGATGTGAATAAAAAATATTCATAGAGATTATGAAGCAAAATTGTTTTTGAATACAAAAACAAGTTGGCAACTGTAAGGTTCATTATTTCAAACTTTCTATAATATGAATAGTTTATATTGTTATCAGAGGTTTACAGTTATATTCATTCTACATTGTAGTGTATGACAGATGTAAATAGTATGTAACACCAACCAGAAGTGGAGTGTCTAGCAACAGAAGATTGAGAAGCTCAAACTGAAGAGAAAAGGAATGTAAAAAGAGAGTGAAACTGAAAAAAAATCATGAAGCGTGTAAAGGACAACTGAAGAAACATGTACAAATAATGTATTTAATGTATAGTTTCATATTTTATGAAGGTACTCTGCTATCACAATTGATTGATCATTGGGTGGTGATCAATGTCATGCTTGTCTAGTCCTTATTAGTGCAGATTGAATGCTATCGATCATGTTGCAATGTGGCCACCAGTCTAGGTGACTCGACACTGCGGGCACTACGTATTGAGATTTTAGATGGTGGTTGGAGGTAGTCAACAGGAAACCCTGGACCCGGGTTTCGTGCTACTTGGCACTCGTCAGCAAGGTGTACCTGTAATCCTGAGGGAACTGGTGCTCCCTGGCGGATTCGATCTCGTGTCACCCAGGCTTCACAGTCAGAGACGTTACCACTGAGCTATCCGAGCCGTGACTGACCTCCTGTAGGACTGAGTTTTCGTTCACTACAATATGTTTACATTATTCCTTAGAAAAGATCTTTCGATTGTCACGCTTATTTTTTGTGCAAATCCAATAACATTACTAATGTAATGCCTCGTAGCCTAGTTATACACTGCTTAACGACTGAGCATAAAACTATATACTTAGCTTATAGTAATTTGACTAATTCCGGAACAATGGACTGTTCTTATGGGCTCCAAGTATGCTGTTCCCAGAAGAAAGAGAAATTAGATCTACACAATTTTAAGATTGTGATAAGATAAACAGATATGTTTTCATTGAATTGACGTCATACGAGAGCATAAAGATTTCAAGAACTCACGTATTTTCTTGTATTTTGACTTTATTCGGCAGTTCATGGTTGTTCTGTGGGTAGGGGGCTGCTATTTTTTAAGACCCCTATAGTTTTCTCCAAATTAAGATTGTATATAAAGTCGAGATGAAAGTACGCTCCGCTTGATAAGTTCAATGATCCCCTATTGGATATGTTGCCATTTTTTATTTGAATAACTTTTCAAGCACTATAATTCAGTACATTCTCAAGATGCATATAGACAGTTCGCATTCATATCAAACATTTACTTTACTGTACCGTCCAAGGTTTGTTCAATAACTCTCGGGTATTATGATTTCTCTATTTACAGAAATACATTTGAGAATGCCTTCATTTTGTTTAATCGGTGAAATCACTATTTTTAGGAACATCGTAAGTAAACAAAATATATTCTATCATATATGAGCGATCAAGATATTTTACTAGATTAAGTACCCTTACAAATTCAAATGTTCTTAAATCCAGTTAACATAAACTAATTGAAGAGATGATGTTTTTTATTCCTTCAATTAAGCATGAACTAGATTGTGGAAATAATCAAATTTAATTATACTATTCGTGTTAAATTACTGATACTTCTATGATTATTCTTTAAAAATTTTAATTTTCGAAATCGTACTTGTAGTCATGATTGGCATCAAGTTATAGTTTCAAAGTTACATTGTATGTATACACTTATTAGAAGTTCCATAAGATTTAGGATGTATTTATGTTTGCATTATTCAAAAAACTTATTGTGCTATTATTCAGTCACTCAGAATTAAGGTAACAATTGTTTTTTACAAGTCTTAGAATGATACATAGAGTTTAGTTGAAATCTAATTAAAATACATTGCATTAAAAGTGCATACTTAAAGAAACATACATTTTAGAAATGGAGCCGGATACAAGTGCTTTCACTTATTGTTTGGTATGCAATCTCACTGAAGAAAGTATTTGCTCTTTTTCTAAGGTTGAAGGTACAATACAGGGCACCATTTCAATGTAAAATATTTATTGAATGAATCGCTATATAGTCTTCTGATTGAGTGACAATGTCACCTGTCACTTTAATGCTCTTAGTTTCTTTCGTGTTCTATGATTATCCCTGTAATCATTATTTAAATACGGTCATAATTGTAACAAATAAATTTGAATAACACGATAAGTTAGTAAAAAGTGTGTTTAATTATATCACTAAACGCTACAGATCCGCAGTCCCATTTGTGCAGCTTTTCGTATGAAAAAAGTATTTGAGGATTTTTACAAAACCTACTGAAGTATTTTTTCAACAGAAGATCATATTGGTCTGTTTTATGTAATTTGAAATAATCCTACTGAAACTCAGTATATTATTCTTTTGTCAATAAGTTACAGACAAAAGTGTATTAGATCTAACCTCAAATATATAAATCTCCAGTTCACTATGCTTTACCCTACAAAGACTATTGTGTACTCCCATCTTGTCTAGTTTACAATGAACAGAGTAAATCTGTTTTAAGTCGATACATTTCTCTACTTATCTAATGAGATCACCAAGAGTAATAAGATTCTGTTCTTTAATCTGTCAAATACTTGAAATAATTAATGCCTAATTTAAACTCGCTTATCTTAGTTTGTTTTAAGAGTAAAAGACGGAAACAGAATGCTCGAATGGATTTATTTAGGCAGTTTCATGGTAGAAAATAACAACAGTTCAAAGATCCTTGATTTTCATAAGTTCGCAGGGTGACAATAGTTCATTACGAAAATATCTCTTTATTACTTGAAATATCCATAAAAGACTGCAGTGGGTTACTTAATTACCTCAAGGATTTTTAAGTGATGAAATCTTTAATGTTGAATTTATTATTAGAAACAAAGTAAGATGTATCTTTCACTTACTAATTTATCAAAGAATATTAGTAACATACTGAGAAATATGGTGAGACCATAATTTATAAATGAACCAATGACGTATTAGATAACAGGGTCTCAGATTTTGGCACGAAATTCACTCAACCATTTGGCTAAATAGATTCATGGCATTACAGCTGATATCAGTTCGTGATGAAAACCCTAAATCTAATTCATAACCTTAACCATCATGTGAAAATCATAATTAGAAATCTTCATTACTAATTTATAACCCTCATTTGGTCTTAGTTATCAGGTAGACACTCTCAAGGTCAGTCTAGCGTTGCTCAAGAGTCGTCCATAAATTATAGTCTCTTCGAAATTATCTTAAGCTTCATCTCCAAACTAACTAGGTGGTCCATTTTCTGGTCTCATTTTCTATTTTAAAATTACTGTATCTAAAAAGAAAGCTTAATCATTATATTTTGTTTTAATTTGATAGTGTGATTTCTTAATGTGTATGTGATATGTTAACAAATTTCAATAATCATTTATTATTTTCTTGTTTGTGTATTGGTAGACATAAATATTGATCCTTTCTATTTGATTCTATATATCTAAATTTATATAAAATATTTGACAAAGGACTTGTCAAACTTTATGATTTGTTTGATTCAGTAGATGAAGTACAGTTCCGTTTATTTACTTAATAGTCTAAGATTAACTTTTGTTATTAGTAATATTGTAATTTTCAATTTTTAGGCAGAGGAATGGTTAGTATGTTTGGAGGCTGAGCACCGATGATTGGTGATTGTGAGTCATAATCCTGTACTATTATTATAGTGATAAAAATCCATCCATGTGTGTGCAGTCAAATGTCTTTAGACACAATAAATCAGGCATATAGAATCGGAATACACTTTGGTAACAAAACATTAGATCAATGCTAATATGTTATATTTAGTTTTAATATTCACGGGACAACCACCTTGTAAGACATGTAACAGTATCAGCTTTCTGGATTTTTGTCGATTCAAAACATTTTTACTGATGTAGTTGATATATTTATCATGGATACTAGATTTCATGGATCACGTTATTGAATTATATAACATATTTGATTTCAGCATTTTTAAATAAAACACTGCTGTTAGACATTGGAGAAAAAGAATTTTCTTTGCTACTTACACCTGTTTCCGTCAGAATTGAGAGACTGGTTGCTACCTTATACTGAATAAATATCATTTCGCTATAAATACAAGCGTTCGACAACATTTTCATAGTGATTTATCCTTTATGAGTAAAATTATTTATCGGAAGCGAATAATGTGATAAATGAATCTAACGAACTCTTCATTTATTAATTCACACTACATCGTTTCTACAATAACACTAAAACAAAGAACGCACTGTTATAAGACTTCATACGTTACATGTAGAAAAACAACAAGTATTGAAGTTTGATATCAATTTGTATTGTTTCAAATTAACCCTTGTCGTTCAATTTTTTAATCGCTATAAAACTTATATATATAACAATCTGGTTCATAGCGAAAACAAAAGGTTGATTTCGGTTTTGATGAAGTACTTATACGGCCAACTTTAATTGGATTAGTAACTCGTTCAAATTTCCATCCTCTACCATAATCTCTTTCTAATTCATTCAAAAATGGTGACATACTAACAAATGGATCATCTCGATCCCATCTTCTTACAATATACAATATACATTTTCTTTCTAGATCACATTCCATATCAGAAAAATATATTGTAATGCATGGATATTCTGGTGGAAGTTGTCTTTCGAATTGTTTTATGCAATCGATTTCTTTTTGTGCCCTATAAAATAAGACAATAAGCATAATGGAAATAACATGTTGCTATAAAATATATAAAGGATAATGTCGAAGGATAAAAGGATGTATTATATGTAAACTGTCAATATATAGTTTGAATACAAGTAATTTTACAGATGAGATATCAAAAAACTGATATCAAATATGATGTACGCTAAATGATCACTACGTAAAAACAACAGAAAACATCAATAGTTTAGGAAAAACAATGTGGCGATCCTTTTTCATCTTTCTAATATCAATTTAATTGGTTAAGTCATAAATAAATTCGTTCACTATGTAATCTATAATATGACATGATACTTATTAGTATACTTGTCATATGTAAAAACCAATAAACCTATCCTCGATTAGATATAGTTTTTGAAATGTATTTTCAATGTATTACTTCATAAGAAGATATATGCATATTTGCGATATTTGAAATTAACATCTGATGTGAACAGGGAAACAAGAAGCCCTGGCAAACTACGAAAACTATTTTTCGGGACGTTATTCCATTTTATTCAAAGCTTGTAAAACACTAACATTTTTTTCCTTTATCTATTCTACAGAACATAAGCTTTCGTTCGATGTATGATTCATTGCCATACTCTTTTCTGTTCCAAAGCTATTGTAATTTAAACATAATATTTTGCACCTTATTTTCTACTCTAGGTCCCAGCTTTGGACATAATTGTATTTTTCCTTATTATTGTGCGTTGTGGTCGGGTTATTCATTTATTTGTTCATGTACCTTTTTACACTAATCCGAACTGAAGTCAGGTTGTCGGGGCTAGATCGAGTGGTGTTCCGGTTGTCTTATCTTCTCTCATTCACGTGCTTGTTAGCCAATCAATCAGGTGATAGAATAGTTTTCTCTCTACACCACTTCGAACTCACGCGTACTAGCCTCAAGGTTAGGTTGGTCAGCCTGTCGCGCCAATGTCTTAATCTGTATTAGATAAGTACCCTCAGCACTAAAAGTGGGTAGACAGACCAAAAGGACATAACAACATCCCTTTTGAAAAATCTTTCAGCTTTGTTGTAAATCCATTGAAATCTGTTACTAACAGATAGATTGGTTGGTTTTGTTAAAAGTTAAAAATTATCATACGTAAATATCATTCTATAAAAAAATTAAAATAATGTTTGATAAAATGATTTTAATTATCCTAAATTATAAAGTTGAAAGACAGTAAATATTACTGAAGACTAATGTCCCATTCATGTTAATTTGGTGTTCCGAATACAGATATTTTTTTAAGAAAAAAAATAATTATGTCTTTATACTGTATACTTTGTCGTTTAATTTCTGATGTAAAAATAGTTTGTTTGTTTTATCATTGTAAATTGAACAACTGAAATTACAATAGTGTTGTGGTGTGTGTTACTTATATAGACATAAGTAGTATATGATGTTAGTCGTGAACAGAAGGTCTGACAGTAGAGAGACAAGAGGATCGAACACTAAAGAATGGAAATAGGATGCGATTTGTATGAAAATGCAAGAACAATCAAGTTTGAGTCATTATGAGACAATCGATGGGCATTTTGCAAATTAAGCCTATACTTTATGATTGTTAGATTTTACTAACAAGTCATGTAATTTAGTGTTAGATACATTAGATTGTCCCCACCTGTGTTCTGTTCACTACAGTGTAATCGAATAAAAACTTATTGAAATAGGCTTTTATCTCATATAGTAAAAGTGTTAAGATCTATAAGTCATTGTCATTATTATAAAGTAATAATAAACGTCTTTTATGTATTACTATATATTTCTATATTAGGTAAAAGGATCATTATACATTTACTGAATCTTCGAGTCTTATAAGAATTTCAGTGGCTAAGATCATGAGTCAGTCGAAGCTAGACCACCATGGAAAACCTGGAAGCACTGGACAGCTGTTTCGTCCTATTGTGGGACTCCTCAGCAGTGCGCATCCACGACCTCGCCCCCTGCAAGATTCGAACCCAGGACCTACTGGTTTCGCGCGCGAGCACTTAACCACTAGATCACTGAGCCGGAATCCAACGGTGTTAATGTCTAACTTCAACTAATCCAAGAAAATGAGTGACACATCCACCATTGTCTTCAATGAGTTACTATCTCACAACAGACCTGATTGAACTCTACTGGTCACTACTTCTCACCAGAACTTCAAGATATACCTCTTGAAGCCAGTCAGGAATGACAACTATAAAAATTAATGATATAAGTATAAATTCAATGAAATTTATGAAAATTACGGTTAGTTATAAATATTGATTAGTGATTTTTTTTTCAAAAATAACAATGTAATACATAGATATCAATAAATGTTATCAAATGATTAGGTATACAAATAATTTATCTTATATAATGTAAAGATAATAATGAAACAACTTACATTGTCTGACTATTCGAATTTGTTAATGGTTTGTCATTCATTTTTGTAGCATATCCATTTGGCATGTTTAAGTTTGGATTTAATAAATGCATAGATTTCTAAAACATAAAATGATCTAGATGCATCCATACTTAATTAAACATAATTTTCACATGATTTTAGATTTAAAAATTATACCTTTTTGTATAGCATGAAATATGAATAAGAATTTATAATAACAATGGGAATAGTATGAAATTTTATATATCAAACCTAATTATCTTTAATTTGTTAGGATGTAAGTTGAGGCGGACAATACTAAATATACTGGATACAGGTAAAAAGATATATATATGCATAAAGTGGATAGGGCACACATTGCGTGAATCATATAACTGAATCACTAGAGAAGCCTTAACTTGAAATTCCAAAGGAAATGATAAAATAGTCAGACTAAAGAACATCTTGAGTCAAGAACGCAAGGCAGACATCAAGGGAATGTAAAGCACTTGCGAACAACTAGAAAGGAGAGTGCATAGTTAGAATTGGTTGAAGAGACCTGGTCGAGTCCTATGTTCCACGAGGGGAAACAGGTGTAAGTTAGTGAGTAATATAACATCAATTCCTTATAATTTTATGATGGTATTTATTCACGAATCTGAAGAGTTTTATAATTACAACTTTAAAAATATCATTACTATGATTTTCACTGGTGCTCATGAATATATGTTTACACGTTATTCAGTATATCCGTAGAAAAATAAAATATAAAAGAATTTACCTTTAAATGACCTGTCATAAAACTCGTCATTTCATCAGTAAGTTGATCAAAACATGAGCTAAATACCCAGATGATAATATATAATACTGGAGTTGTGTGGTTAAAATTTAGATTTCGTAAACGTTGGCTGTCATCAGTAGAAAATATATAAAATACTGTGATGATTAACGTTGCCCTTACTGTTTCAACCTTCATCGTTCAAAGTTAAAATTGCAGACATTACCAATATGTTGTTCAGTTTGTAATCTCTGTAGAACAATAATGTCAACATCAACTGCTCACTTAGTGTTAACGGACATAGTGTTATTTGATTTTAAATATTGATATAATGCAATGAAATAAGTTACAGATTTTTACTAATCCTCGACTGAATATGGTAGTAAAATTTGTTTCGGTAATTATCAATAATTTACTCGGAGCTTTAGACCAACCTGATAGATAAGCATTTGATACTAACAATTTCTATCATTCAGTAACCAATCACTTTATCTTTGTTTGGATCAACGCATTATGGATAAATTTGGCTATAAACATTTGGGAAACTGAATTACCAATAATAATTGGAGACTGAAGTTTGCTGTTGTAAATCTCACTCCTAGTTGTTTATACAAACGTTATTATTAAACTTTCATTATAATTATCAATCAACTCAAATAATCCTGTGCCTTAATTAAAGTGTACGACGTCTAACACAATAGATTTGAAATAACCTGAATGCTTATAATTATCAAAAGAAGTGGCATGCAGAAGCCCTAGACATTATTTGTCAATAGACCCAAAGCGATTCATCAGCCAGTCATAACGTAGAATTTGACATTTATTTATATCTATTTGATTTGTCACACCGCATGTATACAACAAGATAAAATTATTAAGATAAATTTTATAGGAGTAGGATTATTAACGGTGTTAATGTTAGCTGAGAAGAGCAGCTATTAACAGTTTGATTCAGAAAGCAAGAGAGAACTGAAGAAGTTCAAATGTATAAAATATCTTCTGAACTGAACTTCTATGCAAAAAACATTAAAAACGGATTTACCGCACTATGAAAGACCTCAGTTTACATCAGCGATTGTATCCAATCATTAGTTACGATAATCATGCAGACCTCAACCACATAGTCTATGCTAACCAACACGGTTCAGACCAATAATAAGTGGCTTTACGGAACAACAAGAATCTTTGCAAAAATGTGTGCATTTCGAAATTCAAGTGACTTTCGTCTAAATAATGGAAGATCGACTAATCTATTTAAAAGTGATAATAAAAAGTAATTTTCCAATGAGAATAGTTTTTCGAGAATAGTTTTATCCAACTCTGCTTGTACTTTCCCTTTGTTAATATTAAGAGTCGCATTTTTATATTCACTTTCAGGAAATATGAACTCCATAGGCTGATACCTCGATATTTGAAGGAGCTGCAAATCGAAATTTTTTTTAGATTTGATTGAAATCTGAATTCATCACACAAAAGTTAATCATTGGTTAGCTGATGGCATTATCAACTCACTCATCGAAGGAGTTTATGTGCCAACGAAGAATTAATTATTATTGCAGCCCACAATGAACAAATAAATCACTAAACTTTCAACTGTTTATACTAATAATTAGATGAACAGATGTAAAAATGGACATTACAATAAACTTTCAATTGTGTAAGGTGAACTTACTTCCAGAAACGTGTTAACCAACACTTGCCTATGATGGCATTTTTCAAAATCCTCAATTTCCGGGGGTCTTTTAATTGCTTTTGGCATAGTAGGTTAACTTGTCTATTTGAATTGATTTATTATTATTTTTTAAATGAAGAGAAATCGTCGATATTTATTGCCAAGAGTCTTTAATTGTTTACGTAAAGAATGTTTAAATAGTTTCCAGTATACAAAACAAAATTGATTAATCCTATATATATACTCTTAACATATTGTATGTGACAGTGTTTCTGCTTTCACTAACACATGCACAAATGCTATAAAAGTAGAATCCGAAGCACAAATGCACACATGATCATATTTATATTAGCTTATTATTGTGTAATATAGTTACAGAGTGTAATTGATGAGTGTGTTTTAAAAAAAAATATATAATTAGGGTTTTCGATACCAATTATAAGCATAATAAATTTACGTCTTCTAGCCAAATAAGTTAAACAACATGACAGGCATGGTATTATGATCAATTATTTCAATTATTTACCAAGATTCATATCGACCAACACATGTATAATTGTTTTTATTGAAATAAAAATTCAACAACTATCGCCGTTGATACATTGTCGAGAACAGAATGTTTTAGTATATATTTAAGTAATATGATTGTAAATTATGAGATGGTGGAGAAGATTTGTAGCTCAGGTGGATGATTTGGGTGGAGTTTTGTTCTCTGAGCTGGATGGTTTGCTCAGAGAACAAAACTCCACCCAGATCGTAAATTATAATCAAATCATTTATAATATATCTATCAATAGAGAGAATATGCAGACCTATATATATATATATATATATATATATATATATATATATATATATATATATATATATATATATATATATATATATATATATGAAATAATAGACATTTATGATTGTACTCATCAAACTACCTGATGATAAAAACACAAGGTGAATGATAATTGAGTTCTTTGTAAGGAAGAATTATTTGGCTTGCTGGTCTGTGTGACTTTAATACTTGAATACATATGAAGAAAATCAATTAGATTTCTTATTCCTTTGTTTCAGTATTACTTAAGAACCTGTAGGAAACGATTCAGGAGTATTCCTTTTCAGGATTACTTACAAACCAAAACATGGCTATTTCGGCAACTGCTTTGATCACGCACACTAATTATTTGACTATAATTGTTACAACTATTTCACATAGCTGTTATTGTAATAATGCATATCAAATTAGAAAAGAAACATTACATTTTCAACAAATAAGTTATTGGGTAATAAATAAGAACTTTTGTCTAAATTTGAACGAACAGTTTCACAATATTTGGGCGCCAAGTTAATATGAAACATTAAAGAGGAAGAATGCATTTGTAAAATCTCAGCGAAAGAATTTGAAGTAAATCCAACGTTGAATGTAATCTTTGTTGAATGAAATTTCTTCTCACTTACGTATATACACAATCTGTTATCTTAACACTTTTCGTTTCATACCACATATCTCTTACACACTAATGTAAATACATACTTTAAACATTGTTAACGTTGATTGGATAACTTATTCAGTATACAGTAAACCAGAGAACCATGTACCTATTTATATTCAATAATTTTGTTGTTTGATTATATTTTCCTTCAAAAAGCTTGAACCAGATTGCCAGGCAAAACGTTGTATTAACTTCAAATTCTTTCACTGAGATTTTACAAATACATTCTTTCTCTTTAATGTCTTATTCGGTAATAAATTTGTAAATTGTAACCTTAGAAACTGTTGTTTCAAATTGAATAAACTTTTGTATGTTGTTTTATAAAATGATTCATACTATATTATAATGTAGTTATATATCCATTAAAATACAATTATAAGACACAAAAACTCTTGAAGATTACGGGAATTTATAATCATCGTCACCATTTGTTAAACGGATATCACTTTCGTAGAAGGAAAGTGAAAATGTCGTGTAAATACATGCATATATAGGTCAGAAACTAATAGATATATAGTATTATTGTATATCTTTTAAGAAGACAGTAAAATTTACATGCACAAAAGCATTAGTGTTTTCCAATTCATTTAAAATTCTATAATATTAATAGCATCTTAGTTTCTTTTTTTCACATTAAACGATGAACCCTAGTAGAATAATAAATCAAAATATTTTAACACAGGATTGATAAAAATGTTACAAGTTTATTCTTTATCATTGCCCCCAAATGCCTTGGTACGGCCGAGAGTGGGGAGAGTGCGCTCTTACTCTCAAAATGCTCTCACATGGTCACACGTATATAGCCTCTGCCAGGGAAGTCCTACTCATTGCCTTTTCGTGGCGGGGTGTTGTTTACGAAAATGAGAGGACGAAAAGCGAATGTCTGGCGCTTTAACCAGATCACAAACCAATGGTGCACATGGGCTCCAGTACCCTGCGGGAACAAATGGTGTATGATCCAGTTATTGGTCACCGGCTTCCATGGGACTGCATCTCCTTACGATGCTCCACTGCCTTGTGGATCAGACTTTCAGGTCGAAGGCTCGGGGTGTGGCCCCCTAAGAAAACCACCTGCTTCGGTTTGGGCACCCGGGCAGTATCACAGCCCTCACACATATCAAATGAGATTTGTGTAGCGCATATGTATTCGGTTCCTCTTTGTACCAATATCTATATGTTGAAATAAATAAATAATCAGCAGTATTGAGTCACATTATCTATTGGGAGATACCTTAATTTCGACAGTGTAATAAGAAGACGAAGATTATTATTCTTAATACATTAACAAAATTTATCAAAAAGACCAATTGATTGAGGTACTTTAATATCAGATCAGTTTATCAGCCATATTTCAGTAATGAAACCCAAGTTTTTACAAGAAATGTAAACAAAATTGTAAAACACAGATTTATTATCAAAGCTAAAAATTAAAGACTACGTTCAATTAGCAAATGAGATTTGATTTGAAAGAGAAAAATAAAATTAATATGTTTAGTTAGGTGAGTAAAATTAAAAGTGTACACATGAGTAACTCTGACAAACTATTGAATTGTCTATAAGCCTATAATTATGAAGGTTAAAATAAAAACATTTCAGTTATTCAAGTCGATTCAAATGTGAAATAATCTCAATCTTTAGATGAAGAAAGGAGAAAAGAGTTAATCATTAATTACCAGCTCTATCTGCTAGCATTTATACTCACTTCTGCGAAAGTTGATAAATTTAACATGGGATGAATACATCTCATGAAAATTGGGTTTTGTATTTTGGCATATTAATTAAAGTATCGAAGTCTACTACTTATTTACTCCTGTTACATCTCGTGGAGGAGCATATATCACTCGTCAGCATACACCATTGAGCTCTGTACTGTACAGTCCTTCCCATTTGTTTCCAGTTGCTATTCATCTTTTTCATGTCTGCTTCCAATCCCTGACTCAACATGCTCTTTAATCTTCTTATTCTTTTCCATTTATGATTCCAAGTTAAGGCTTACCTCGTAATTCAATTTCATGATTTTCACAATTTATGAATTATCCGCTTTCGAGATATTTTCCTAATTTCCTATTCTGTTGGAGGTTGGTTTGTTCGCTCTAACAGTAGCCTGTTACTGACTGCGTTTGACCAACGGATATGGAGTATCTTCTTCTCAGTCTGTTATCACATGCATCTCCCTCCATCTAGTCTTACAGATAAGAATATGGAGCATGTATGCAGGTACTACTATGTCTAACTTCAGTGGTGCGGCTGGTATGTTTTCAGGTCGTGCTACATTTTTACACTCTTCACTTGTCTAATGGCCATCCTGTCTTTATGGATGATTGATGGAGTAGGATGTATAAGGATGCCTGTAGGTGCTGAATCGATTTCTAGTGTATTGAATGGAGCTGGTTTACTCAACAGTTGCTCGACTTGTTTTATCCAACTGTTCCTCTCTTCTTGAATCACAGTCATTGACTTGCCTTATTTGAACTTGAACGGTCTCTCTGGTTTACTATATTTCATTACTAGTTTCTTTGTTGTGTCATATGGTTGTTTCATATTTCCTTCTCTAGCAGAACTTTCCATTGTTGTTGCTATGTCCACCACGTATTTTCACTCGTTGACTCCAATGTCCCTCTTCACTAGCTTGATTGCTTCAATGTAATCAGCTTGTGTCATGACCGTCTCTGCTCCTGATCAACTGTTGTTCATTACCGTCTTCTTGTTCTTCCTTCATTACATCTTGCGAATGGTGACGACCGAGATGCCTTCTTATGATGATGATGATGATGATGATGATGATGATTGTTGCGAACAAAAATCTCCTGATATGTTGACATTAGTGTTCCTTCAATCCATTTCCTCTTCTTCCAAATGATCTTGTAAGGCTTCCAATCTGTTGTTGAGAGTTATCTTGAATCGGTTGAGTTTGTCAATATGTCGAATGAAGGCTGTGTTGAATGTTTGTGATGCTGTTTACCCAGTTTTCCAGTGGTTCTCTAGTTTCACGTTCATCTTGTCAACCATCTGGTAGATGGTGATCTGAAGCTTCATCAGCTCCTCTCCTTATCATCACGTCTACCACTGAACTTCTGACGGTTCACTGATGCAAATATGATAGATCCCATTTTGTGTAGTGTGGTCCAGTGAAACCCATGTTTGGTGTGTACCTATCATTGGATAACATTTATTTTGTGATTCCGTCTTTCTTTTTTCTGAAGGATGTTTTGACGATTTTCGATCCATGGAATTCCCATCCTATAAATGCTTTACGTGATTTTTGTGACAACATCAGGAAACCTTTGTGAGTGTGTGGAGCATTTTCTTCTTCATGACATGAGTACTGCAGAATCTCTCGCGAATCTTACATCTTCGTCTAGCTAAACTATATGACTACAAAATAGTATTGACAGTATTCTTCAAACTATCTTGTTTTAAATATTTCTAAAAATTATTAGTTTACTGACAATCCTTAATTGTTAAGCTTTTTCACTTGATATATTTAATTCAGTTTTAATGTTTTAATAGTATCAGCTCATAACTGAAGTAATTT